CCTACACGACGCTCTTCCGATCTCCCCAAAACCCCAAAACCCCTTGCTACTGAGATAAGTCAACGTTTATGATTTCAAATTTAAATTAAATATATAAGCTTTCTAAATATGTCTTTAAACTCTTAGCAAGGTAATGATTTGTTTCATAAAAGTATTATAGGGGATGATCCTGCAATATCAATAATGGTCGATGAGGAAGTAAATACAGCTCGGTAACATTAGAATCCTGCTCATAAATTGGAGATAAACACATAACTATCAAGTCAAAATAGCCAGATATAATCATTAACTTCGAGAGTGCCTTCATCTTCAAAAGCAAAGCATATTTTAACCCACATTCCTAAGATTAAAGAAAATACTAGCTGAATAGCTTAGTAAAATAAGAACTCAATTCTTGATAAATCTAAGAATGTATGTGTTGCATAGTATGATCTGAAGCGAACAACTTAAAATAGTAAGGCGAGAAAGCAGAGCAAGGATGTTATGAATAATTCTGGTAATAGCAAGATTATGAGTAGCAAAATATAAAATACTCTATTTGGATAAACATAAAATTTTAAGATACCAGGCTCCACTCCCTAAATGTCAACTAAAAATAGTAATCAACCTATTTCAATAGCATAACAGATAAGATAAGCATCTCTTACAAACTCTAACGCTAACTTAAAGAGGATAAATAACAAAGAATTAACTCCAGCAAACGGCATTTCAAGCTGTCGAAATATGGCTTCGAGTGTTTTGAGTACAGGAGGCTCTGGTTACACTGGTGGAGTAAAAATTAAAAAAGTCTCTTAAGTACTTTAGCAATAGCAGTTTCAATAGCTATAGAGTAATCTAAATGGCAATAGTTCAAACCTTAACTCAACAAATTAGTCACATCATTAGCAAAGCCAAGGTGGAATAGCCTAAAGCGCAGGCAGTCATAAGGCAAAGCTTTCAACTTCAATAAGTTCAAGACTCTCCTAAGTAGATCTAAATTAAAATAAGGAAAATGAACAAATCAACAAGATTTAATGCTTTATGACTGAGTCAAGTCTTAGAAGACTTGACAAATTCAAATCAATATTCTGTGGATAGACTAAGGGAGTTAGTTTTCTCTAGTAACAAACTTTGGCTTCAGGGTCATAAACTAGAAAAGCAAGTGAAAGATCACCAGAAAGTCATAAAGTAATAGGCTTTAAATCCCCAGGAAGCGATTCCAATAACTAATCTGTAAGTGATCTAAATGGCAGAAGGTATCTCTATGATAAGCACAAAAGAATGCTAGATTATTATTCAAATTAAACTAGTAAAAACCAAACTCAAAGCCAGATCCACTTAAGAAAGTAATTATCAGGTGAGATTGATTCATTTGATATAATGATGTCCCCTGGACAAATATAATGCAAAGAAAAAAATCAGATAAAGGTGATAGACAGCTTGACCATTTAAAACAAGCAAAATGAATAATTTGAGGTAACTATCAACATACCAAGTTTAAATAATCAGATGTAAAACTCGAGGATGCAGAAATCTCAAAACTTTTTCCTCCAAGAATCGGAATTAAGACCTTAAAAGTCATTGAACTCATGCAAGCCCCCAAAGCCTCAGCAAGATATTCTACTTTCAAATCGCAGAGACTTGAACTAACTTGAAACTCAATCAATCTTGTCAGACAACAATACCACCTAAATATCTAATTCAATTAGCCTGCGATGTATTACGATGCCTCAACCATTTAACTTATCGAGATCTAACTCTCGTAGAAATAAAGATGTCCTGCTTAGGGAAAAGATAGAAAAAGAAAAAAAAGAGCTTGAGGATCAAGAAAAAAAATCTCGCGATACTGTTTTTAAAGCCAAAGAGATTCCTATTACTAACTATGTGGCAGATATGCAGGCATTCCGATCTACAAAGAATCTTACTTCATTTAAAGAGTTTAATTTCTCAAACACCCTAGGGTCAAGCTCAATCCTCTCAATTTCATAGGCTATTAGTTCTTAGAGATCTAGAGAGCCAAGTAATGAGGGTCTCACAAATAAAACCAATTATTCTACAAGATTTAATGGTCTTAAACAATCCACTTAAGTGAGGAATAATAAGCATAATTAGTACTAAATGCCTGCTAGTCATAATCAAAGATATTAAAAAGAGAGGTAAAAGTCTAAAAGTAACACCAGAAATGTCATGAACGATCTAATGCCTGCTGAAATCTAAGAGTCTTCTTTTATAAAGAAGATCATCGATGAGGTTGAGTAGGAATAGGATATATACAACGAAACTGAGATATTTATGAAAGAATAAGAAATCTTATTGAATAATTAATCTCTTTTGGACGAGTTATGATGAATATAAATCTCATATTGAATGATTAATTTGACTGAGGTTTGTTTGAGGACTATATAACTTAATTGCTTTCTTTATATTAATAGATTTAAATTATTACAAAATACTCTAATTTTAGTAGAAATTCTATATGGTGGGGTTTTGGGGTTTTGGGGTTTTGGGG